CTCCATTTGGAATACCATTCCTCCTGATATCCGACATGTGCAATCAGTTTCCTCATTTAAATCTCTCCTTTTTAAGCACCTGCTTCTTTCCCAACCCGATTGATCATGAAAAGTAGATAAGAGAACTTTTTAAGTTCCCCCAGAAATGATTTTGTTTACTTATGTTATTTTATTTTCACATGTTTGTATTATATTTATCTGTTTGTATTTAGTGTTTTTGTTTTATTTTTCTTCCAATATTTTAATTTTAATGAGAATTGTAAATATTTAATTTAATTTTGTGGCCACACAGGCATTTCCTCGGTATCTATAATTTGTCCTAAAGGGACAACAGTCCCAGGATAATAAAAATCTATTTTCATTTTCATTTTCATTTCATTGCACTTACCTCACTACTTTAATTAAAAATAGTTTCCTCCTTAAATTGATTAAAATTTTTCCAGAATCCTTCTGTTTCATTTGCTTCCTTAGTCATCAATGATCCCAAGTACGAAAATCATGATACTACTTTGATATTTTCTCTACCTAACTTACAGTCATCAGTTTGGCTTTGCTGATATTTATTTCGAGGCCAGCTCTTCCTGCCTCCCTTTTCAAGATGACATATGCATCTTCGAATGTCTGCCTGCTTCTTCCCATAATCACTTCATCATCAGCATAGGCTTTAATTGTAGTGATTTATTGATGACTGTGCTATTACCCTCTATACGTGCAGCATTGTTAAAAAATTTATAAATAAGTAATCTTTTTTCGTTCATCTAAATTCCCTTGAGTGTTTTTTCTGGGATGTGGATGCTGTTCCAGAAATTTAATAAATAATTGAGTGCCACAAATTTTTTTTAGTCCGAAAAGAGTGCCAGTGATAAAGAAGACTAGAAATATTAATATAAATATAAATATATATTTATATTTCATTTTTGGTATTTTTATTTGTTTAAACACTGATGCATCCACAAATTTTAATATTGCCATAATCTATGCAATTAAATGTTAAATAATAACAGCACTAGCATTTATGAAAACCACACATGCAAATATATGTACATTATGTTTTCAGAACACGCTTGCCCCTCATCTATGATATATCAAATATGCCTGTGTATTGTTTAGATGACTATCTTAACATTTTACCTATCTAGAGGGCATGCTCATGTTTCTTTGGTAGTACTTGGCCTCACATTACCAACCTCACTACCCGAGTCTCTGGCTCATTACCCGAGGGCACTCACGTCTCTTTGGCAATTCTCGGTCTCTCCTTATCAACCTCTTTTTTTCTCCTTTAGTTAATAATCAATTTTTTAACTGTTTATATTTAACAATATTTTATTATTATTTACAATGTGAAATATTAATTTTTTTAAATAAACAAAATTCTATTGAATATTTAATAGTTGACCGTTGCATTATAAAGGAAGGAGATGGTCCGGGGTTGCGGTCATAAATAGGCTAAATAGTGGTAAAACTATTTTATTGAAAGCCTAAAAATTTTATTGGCTTTCAAACAAAATTATAGATACTTTATTGAAAACAATTTAAAAAATGACTATTTAAGCCCTCCTAGGCTCCACCAATGAAGAATAAACCTACTTTAAATTAAATACCACTTAATAATTCCTCAACCTAATAAGTTAAATGAAAATTGTTAGTGCCATTTTCGAGAAAATTGAAAAATATCTGAAATTAATGATATAAACTGGCACTTCCATGACTAAACAATACTTTCCATTTAAACTATTTGACAATTGTTTAAATCAATTGTAGTATTATTGTAGTTTAAATCAATTGTAGAAATTGGACGGAAATCATTAAGAGTTGATCGATTGGAAGTCTTCTTCATAGGGCGACCTAGTGCGGTTTTCCAGGATGTAGGGAAGGTAGCATTTTGTAGTGAGTAATTGTAGATATGGTAGAGGATTGGAAGGATGGATGGTAGTGAGTCTTTGATCAGTCTGAATGGGATGTTATCGAGTCCATAATCATTGGTTTGCGATTTGAATGAAGTTGAGGAGGTCAACAGGTGTAATATGAGAAAAAAGAAGTGATCAGGATTAAAATTAAAAGGGAAATACATAGGAGCTGGTATGGTCGCAGGAGGTGAGGATGAGAAGGAACAGGAGACAAAGTGAGCATTAAGGTCATCGGCAGAAAAGGAAATGAACTGGCTTTGAGGTGGGTTACAAATGGTCAGTTTTTTTAGGATAGCCCATTTGGCCTTGGAGTTTGGGGTGTTGGATAAGGAATGATGGAAATAACAGGATTTGGCTCGGCCTATAGCAAACTGGATGCTGTTTCAAAGTTGCTTGAAGGCGACATAGTCTTCCGGGAGTTGGGTACGTTTAAATCGCCGTCTTGCAGCATCTCTTCTTCTCATGAAATCTCTCAGAGCTGGTGTCAGCCAAGGAGCAGGATGTCGGATAGTTTTAGTTAGGAGAGGAGCATGGCAGCCGAGGATGGCATGAAGATGGTTGGTTGGTAAGGATTTCTACGATGTCGTCAATGGATTTTGAGAAATAAATGGGATCACACTGGGTAGTGTCGAGATCCTGCGACAGGGCTTCATAGGTGAGGGAATTGAGGTTTCGGAAGGATATGGTTCGAGGAGGATAAAATTCATCAAAATGAGCTAAGAGTGACTGAGCATTGACGTGGCAGATTAAAAGGATGTTAGAGTTACTGTTTACTTTAAAAGTTACTGTGTACGAAGCAACCCTATGTAGTAGGGCAACATTACTTTTAATAAAGTATTTCTCTCTCTGGGAGAAGGAGGGATGGCTTGGTTAATAGACTGGAAGGGCTTGGGGTAGGAATATTTCGATGGTGGTTGGAGCTAGTATGAACCCAGATAACATAATTGTTGGTGACACCTCTATTAAGAAGAAACATAAGTATAATAATAAACAAAGCTAAACAAGAAATAATAAATACTAATATTCTAGTTGAGAAGTAGAAAATATACAATTTATTAAATTGTCAAAACAATACTTTCCTTACTAGATATTTCATATATAGGTAAGTGAAAGTAAAAAACTAAAGTGTGTGCTTTAGACCACACGATAGAAGTGAAAACAAGTAAAAAATAAGATCAATAATATGAAATATAAATTATAAATTAAAGCTCATTATAAAGAGGATGAAATGCTAAAAATTTCCCTCGCTTACAGTATTCAGGTATGATTTTTAGTTTCTGAGATATTTTAATCCATATCTTCCATGACCCGCAGAGGCTAGCTTAGTGCAAAGCTGGTGGTGCAAATACAGTAATGAAAAATAAAATAAGCAGCGTAATAATCATGTGAGTGCTTGTCATGTGAATATGTCTAGGTCTGATGGCGAGTTAATCACGACAACGTGATATGTGATACAGGCACTGCACCAGATTTTTGATTATGATTTAATATTTTTTAAAAATTGTATTGTATGTTAAAAGCGGACTTTTTGTCACTTAAAATTAACAACACATCAATTGAAACAAGAGTAATTATAACTAATTATACTATTAATGTTTATCATGTTTATTATTTTCTAAAATAACAAAATAAAAAGGAAACTGAAGAAAGATACCACACAATGTTGGTATTCCTATCAGAAGTCATGAGAGATTAAACTGTTCTGTGCAATTACAACAAACTGTTCATAAGAAAACACATTAATCTCAATCCTTGCAACTTTTTTTCAAAAATAAAAATAAGATACATTGAGCATACAATTCTGTAGTGGCAACATAATTAACAACAGCTGTGTTGCTACGGAGGAACTACCGTGGTGGACTCTTAGTGACATGTTAACAAAAACAAAAGCGGTTGCTATGATTGTTTATCATAACAACAAAAGTTAATATGGGTTGTTATGCAGTAGTATTATGTGTCCCGTTTTAATTTGTATTCCAAAATGTAGGTTTTGTTATTTAGTGTCAATAATTAAGTTTTAGTAGTTTCTGTAGCAATGTATATAAATGGGCCCAGTAATTGTGTAAATATTAGTTGTTAGATTAGTTTATTCCTTCTCACATGAAAAGATATTCATTGTTTCCTACAATTTCTTTTTATGTTATAGTTTATTTTCTCTTTATTATTTAATACTGTAAATAAGTTTAGTTTAATTATTTACATTTTTCGATATGATGTTAAAATACAAAAGTTTTGTTTAGCTGTGATGTAATTATTATATAACCTTATTTTCTTTTATTAACTAAACATACCACACAAGGCAACATCAATTTACAATTCATCAAGAAGCATGGGTACAAAGGGTACGATCTTTCTTGATAGTTCTGATCAAATGATCTTTTGATAGGGTGAGCTGATGATCCACCCACAGACTTTCAAAACCCCTTTGTCTCTAGAATCTTTTGTAATTTTGTAATAATTGTAAATGAGATAAGGTTCAGCCATTTAGATGGGATTTTGATTATTCCGTTAATGAAGTTGTTGAATACTTTGGGATTACTCAAAATACCAAATTGAAATATCACAGCAAATACTTATATCGATAAAGTGGCAACAAGAGTACATAAATGCTCTAGTGGTTGCAAAAAACTCATGGGTAAATCTTTGAACTTATAACCCTTTATGGTGAAGCTGTTAACAAAATTGTAATTGTTATGTTCAATATTGTATACATATAAATTTATTAAATAAATACTCTTATTCCATCACCTACTTCATTTTCAGACTTCCCTACCTATGTAATACTTATTGGATTCTGTAATGACAACTGCTTACTAACAATTAATCGATTTTATGACATTTATTTATATATTTTTTTCTTTGTATAAATATAAACCATATAAAATGTACTAGTGTTACTTTGTTTACTGTATTGTTCAAGTATGACTGCAATAGCAATTGAAATTCTAATACCAAAAACCTCTTTGTATTTTGTCAAGCCAGACCAATGGACCAATTTTTTGTACCATGTTATTATTATTCTTAGGAGACTTTAGTCCCAGAATAAAATTATTTTTTCATTCATTTTCATTTCATTTCATAAAAGTTTCTTACCAGGGATGCTGTAGAGCCTGCCTACAAGTATACCTCTTCTTCACATCTACGCACATCAATTGTCGAATAAAATCTTTTGCGAAGTCACTTATGTCATCCCAGTAGGGTGAATCAAATTCAAATTCTCCTAGAATTCAAAAGAAGCGATTTTTCATTATTGGTGTTAAAAAAAATAAAACCTTGCAATATCAATATCAATAATAATCAACAGGAGTTAAATTCATTATTATTGTTATTAGAATAGTGGTTTAATTTAAACAATAACATAGATGAAATTATAGGTGAAATAATAAATTTAAGATAGATTGAGATATAATTAAGAACTATATAATAGACAAATTATGCAGGAGTGTACATTAACTTAAACTTAACCTGCATAATAAGAAAATAATTGTTTTAGATCAACATTTTATTGAACAGTTTAAGAATAAACTAATGAATATACATAATTATGATGCTAAGAATACTGAGTTAGATAAAGAATAAAAAGTATTAAATTTGATGCAAAAGGGAAAATAATTTATCAAGTCTAGATGTAGCAAATTTCTTTACAAATATGCCTATTGAAGAAAGCTCAAAAATAAGAAAGTATAAATGGAGAGACTCTTATGCATCAAAATTAAGTATAAACAATGATTATTGTCAATGTAGGACAATTACAATAGAACAAACCTGTGGCTTACCAAAAGGAGGAAGGGATAATTGGTTAAATTGGATATTTAATAGTTGACCGTTGCATTATAAAGAAAGGAGATGGTCCGGGGTGGCGGTCATAAATAGGCTAAATAGTGGCAAAACTATTTTATTAAAAGCCAACATTTCGACCCGACTTTGCAGGTCTTCTTCAGGGCTAGAACGGACAAGATACAAACAGATAGAGAATTGTGGAAGTTATATAATATTTAGACAAAAAATTATAAACAATGTGAATAAGCTTATTAAAATTATAAATAGTAAGTAAATTAAAATATAAACAGAGTAACCAAGTAACAAGATCCTAAACTGAAGTAAATAGATGGTAACAATTGTTGTAGTGTAATATACACTGACAGGCAAAAAATTCTACCCACTTGATTTTTTCATGTTTTCATCTAAAAATATTTCTGCTTTGGATTAAATTAATTAATGAATAAAAAGGTAATACTTTTGTTTGTTTTCAATTAGGAATGTTAATATAGAGGACAATAACCCTAAATCCTTCATTCAATGAAATGATTCTAGATTCCAATGTTTACTTTCTATGGAATCAAAATGTTTATTCAGTATCATTAGTTCAGTGCCGTTTCTTGCAGCACATTTCTTAGTTTCCCGCTTTTAATTTTTTCAATATTAAGTTTAAAAATGCCTCTTAGTGCTGAGGATGTTGCGCGTGGTGTGGCACTGATGGACGTTCCATTAGATATGCAGCTAATGCCATCGGAGTTCCATATGAAATTTTACGAGACGCCATCAGGCGTTTTCGGGAAACTGCTTCTTACAATAGAAGGCCCGGTTCTGGACGGTCTAGGGTAACAGAACCACAGGATGACCGGTTTTTGACTTTGAGAATTTTACAAAACCAGCACTTTACCGTTGTTCAAGTGATTCATCAGCTCGAAGGAGTTCGAGGTGTGCAAATTTCTGAATGTACCGCTCGGAGAAGATTAAATGAGTATGGATTAATGGCTTTTCGTCCAGTAAGAGGAGCAGAGTTGACCAGAACTCACAGAGTAACACGGCTGGCTTTTGCTCGAGAACACAGCAATTGGACTATGGACGAATGGAGTGCTGTACTTTTTCCAGATGAGTCAAGATTAGCTCTTCGATCTCCAGACAGGCATGAAAGGGTGTGGAGAAGAAGAAACGAAAGATATGCAGCCTGTAATTTTTCCCAGAGCCAACCTTTCCAACGTGGTTCCTTAATGGTGTGGGCTGGGATTTCAATGGAGCGCCGCACAGAATTGGTTGTTCTTCGTGGAGGGTCTTTCACGGCCATTTGTATGTAGATGAGATTTTGGAACCTCATGTGTTGCCTATCCTCAACAAAATCGGCGATCGTTCTATTCTAATGCACGCCCACATGTCGCCCGCCTAGTGCAGACGTTCCTTCAACAGAACAATATTGAGGTTTTACCCTGGCCAGCACGTTCTCCAGATTTGAACCCCATTGAGCATTTATGGGATAACCTCGGAACACGAATAAGAGCGCGTGCAACACTTCCTGATACACTGCAAGACCTTGAAAAGGCTCTTCGGGAGGAATGGGCTATCCTCCAGCAAAGGGACATTTCCCAACTGGTGGAAAGTATGCCGAGGCGTCTTCAAGAAGTAGTGAAGGCAAGAGGAGGAAACACGCGCTACTAAACAATGATGTAATTAATTTCTTTTAGAATATTAATGGTACATTTAAATTTTTTTTTCTCTAATCTTTCTTACCCAATCACATTTTGATTGTTAAAGGTAAAAAAGATTATAGAATTCCATAAATACTAAGTATTATCTACAAATACCATGTATTATATACAAATACAACTTTTCTTACAAGTGGCAGAAATATTTTTAGATGAAAACATGAAAAAATCAAGTGAGTGGAATTTTTTGCCTGTCAGTGTATAATATATGCAAATGTGAATATACTTCTACACATCTACAGGAGAGATTGAAAGAAAAGGAAAAAGAATATAATATGAAATGATAGACATAAAGGAATGTGGAGAAAGAAAAGAAAAAAGAAAACCAAAAAATTAAATAAATAAGTAAAAAAAATTAGAAGCATAAAATTAGAGACTTAAAGGTGTGTTCAGCTAGGAGTTTCACTTAGAACTGCAAACCAGGGTAAGGGCAGGTATTAAGGAATTTTCTGACTTTTTTGGGTAATGGAGAAAAACCTAGAAAATTGCAGTATCTAAAATTTGAAGATATGGATGGATACAAGGGGAAAAATACTATATCTATGAAATATTAAATTATAAATATATACATATACATATAAAATAGAATTAAGAGATTTTAGATAACTGGACAATCGTTGAACCTCATCCCACCCTTAACCTCTTCTCATACCTTGAATCCCTTGAGCTTTGTTGCATATCCGGACACCTCACCTTCCAAGGAAAATTCTTTAGCACCAGATATTTCCAATATTGTTCTCAATGACCTTCTAGACTCTGTTATCCCTTCTTTTCACCAAGTTATCATTTTCATCCATTCTCTCCTTCTTGTTCTTAACCCGGACAGCATCCCTCAAATTCTTTCCTCATTCAACTCTTACCACCTCCGTCTCAATTTCACTACAGAGAAAGAAGTTAACAATTCAATCCCCTTCTTAGATCTCCTAATAATAAAAAACACTGACAGCTATGTTTCTACTGACTGGTACACGAAACTCACGTACTCAGGTAGACTACTCAACTTTTATTCTCAACATCCATATCACCACAAAATCAATACTGTCAAAAACCTTATTCACTTATCTCTCTCTTTATCTGATACACAATACCACCAAGCCAACACTCAGTGTGTCAAAAATATACTCCTTTCCAATAATTTTCCTCTCAACACCATACTTGAACTTTTAAACTGCTATACAACCAAAAATAGTACAATATCCCCTTCTCCCAACTCCCCACAATCACCTACCACTCCTTTCATATACAAATCTCTCCTCTATATTCCTATTCTCTCAGATAATATACAAAAATTCCTTAAATCGACTATAACCAACTTACGTCATGGCCTTAAGTCCCATAACAAACTTTCTTTCCTTTTCACCAACTTGAAGGATCCCATACTTTTACAACACCAATCTAATGTAGTTTACCGGATACCTTGCTCTACTCCTAATTGTAATAGTTCCTATATTGGTGAAACCAAAAACCATCTCAAAACCCGCATTTCCCGACATAAAACATCCATAACTTCCTGGAACCATTCCGCCTCCAAACTATCAGAACATGCCTTAACCCTTAACCATTCATTTGATTTTGAAAAACCTCTATTCTTGCCACGGTCCTTAACCATGAAAAAAGACTCATTTCCGAATCCATCCACATTCACATGGAACAGAATCCTGTTAATCATAAATTAGATAAAAACTGCATTTCTTTAACATATAGACACATTTTAAATGAAAAATAACTTATATATTACATCCTATTATTTTTATCTACTTTCAATTTTTATTGATTAATTCAATTTAATTGTTCATTATTCTAAGTATTTCCGCTTTGTATGATCTTTCTTTTATTTAATTTTAATTTTATATTCATTTTACTTTTTAACCATGTCTCAATATTATCTAATATTTAAATGTAATTTACTTACATATGTACAACCAAATATAATTATAATTATTCTTTTTTTCCCCTCTCTATACTTCTAAGTTACTTCTGCAATATACGGTTTCTTATTTCTATATTTATATTTTACTTCTTCCATTTTTGTTTTTATTCACAATGTACTTTTATCTATAATCTCATAATTCTGTTTTACATGTACATGTATATATTTATAATTTAATATTTCGGAGATATAGTATTTTTTCCGTAGTATCCATCCATATCTTCAAATTTTAGATACTGCTATTTTCTAGATTTTTCCCCATTATTCAAACAAGTCAGCAAATTCCTTAATACCTGCCCTTACCCTGGTTTTCCAGTTCTAAGTGAAACTCCTAGCTGAACACACCTGTAAGTCTCTAATTTTATTTACTTATCTATTTAATTTTTTGGTTTTCTTTTTTTTTCTCCAAATTCCTTTATGTCTATTATTTCATATTAAATTTTTCCTATTCTTTCAATCTCTCCTGTAGATGTGTAGAAGTATATTCACATTTGCATTTATTATAAATTACACTACAACAATTGTTACCATCTATTTACTTCAGTTTAGGATCTTGTTACTTAGGTTACTCTGTTTATATTTTAATGTACTTACTGTTTATAATTTTAATAAGCTTATTCACACTGTTTATAATTTTTTTTTCTAAATATTATATAGCTTCCACAATTCTCTATCTGTTTGTATCTTGTCTGTTCTAGCCCTGAAGAAGACCTGCAAAGTCGGGCCGAAACGTTGGCTTTTAATAAAATAGTTTTGCCACAATTTAGCCTATTTATGACCGCCACCCCAAACCATCTCCTTCCTTTA